AGTGGAGCAGGGACAATGTAGGGAGCAGGCAGAGGCACGCTCTCACAATGCTGTGCATGCTGGGCAGGATGACAGGGCAGTGCTGTGTGGTGGGGTCAGGGCTCCCACAACAGCCCAGCCAGGAGCTGGCTCTGCAGAGGGAGGTCAGGTGCATTCCCAGCAGCAGCCCACGTGGGAGCAGGACTCCGTGCCCTCTGCTGCAGGCAGATGCTGCCGAAGGCTGTGGACACCCCGGTGGGAGCAGCACCCACAGCTGCACCATCCCCTCCCCACAGGTGCTGAAGTCACTCAACAAAACGTACCAGAAGCTGCAGCGGAGGCCGGTCACCGTGGACCTCGACCCCAAGGCCGTGACCTGCAATGAGCTGTTCGGGGTCATCCATCCGGCCACGCGGGAGTGGAAGGATGGTGAGACACCAATGCTGTGAGCTCTGTTTATGAGATGTGAGATGGAAAAGGAAGACCTTTGCTTGGGGCTCTTTCCTGGGGTGGGAGGGAGAAGGAATGTCTTTCATGGGAGCACCAGCCCTGTGTGTCTCCCAGCAAACAGCCGTGCATGGAGAGGACCAACCCATGTCTCTCTGTGGGGCAGGTCTGTTCTCCACAGCGATGCGTGACCTGGCCAACATCACACATGACGGGCCCAAGTGGATCATCCTCGATGGAGACATTGATCCCATGTGGATCGAGTCCCTGAACACAGTCATGGATGACAATAAGGTTGGTGCCATCACACTCCAGGGGCTTTGCTTGCTCGTTAACTCAGGAGGGTCAGCTCTGGGCACCCCTCACAATGAGCCACTTCCCCCAGGTTCTCACCTTGGCCAGCAACGAGCGTATCCCCCTCACCCCCACCATGAGGCTCATCTTCGAGATCAGCCACCTGCGCACAGCCACGCCCGCCACCGTGTCCCGGGCAGGGATCCTCTACATCAACCCCACAGACCTCGGCTGGCACCCGTGAGCCAGGAAGGGAGGAGGACGGGGTGGGAAGGGATCAGATGGACAGGGTGGGACAAGATGGGATCTGATGGGATGGGATGGAATAGGACAAGATGGGATGGAATGAGACAAGATGGGATCTGTGGACACAGATGGGATGGGATGGGATGGGATGGGATGGGCACTGGCCCCCACATGCTCACTGCAGCCC